CAAATTCCCTTGCAAAAACTGTCTGCGACGGAATTTGCGAGGGAACACCGTCCCTCGCTAAACCCTCGTCGCAAATAAATTTGCAAGGGAAATTTGTCATATGAAAATTCCCTCGCAAATTGCTACGGAAAAGTTCCCTTGCAAAAAAGTAAATTTCCCTCGCAAATAACAGACCTATCTACAGTGTCTTTCCGTCGCAGATTGCGACGGAAATGTCGAGTATAATTTTCCTTGCAATTTTCCGTAGCAGAATTTGCAAGGAGTGTATTAAATTTCCGTTGCAAAATTTGCAAGGGAACATTTCGATTTTCCCTCGCAAAATGCTACGAATTTTGCAAGGGAACATTTTGATTTTCCCTCGCAAAATGCTACGAATTTTGCAAAGGAAAATCTTGATTTTCCCTCGCAAAATGCTACGAATTTTGCAAGGGAATTTTAAAAGTTTCCGCCACAAATTCTGGAATTAAAATAAAAAAAATGTATTAAAATTTTCTTAATTTTCCTATAAACAACAAGGATTCCAAATGAACATAAATACATAAATAGCAACAGAAATCCAAAAAAATACTAGATAAATAATTAAATTAAAATTAAATAGTATATCAACAAAAGTGAACAACAACAACCATAAAATCTACAACTAAAATGTCTCTAAAGTTCTAAACAAAATAAAACATACAAAAAATATCTGATATATCTCTGAAGTCCTTAAAGAAGTAAAACATACAAACAACAACTAGTATGCCTCTAAAATTCTAGCAAAGTCATCATCATCATCAGGGTCATCATCCGGCGCCGGTCCCTTCGACTTGTTGCAGTTGGCTTCCTTGTCCTGCATTAAAAGTCGGAGTTGTTCCTGCATTTGTTTCATAATGTCAACTTGCTGCTTCATAAAGTCCGCTTGCTGAGTTAGTTGCTCTGTCGTAGCATGCAATTGCTCCTTCGTAGCATGCAATTGCTCCTGCATCTGAGAGTGGGACACCCTCATCCTTTTAAGCTCATATGAAAATACATTATTAAAAAACAGTAAGTTAAATGTTTAAAATAAAATATTAATAGAATAGAGATTGAAAATATAATAGAATTAACTATGCATTGAGTTTACCGGCAGAAATCAAATAAAATATCGTTTCATCTTGTGAGTCTTACACTCACAATAGTTATAAGAAATCTTAAAACTTAATTACTTTCCCTCACAAATGACTATGAAATTTCTAAATTTAAAAATTTCACCAACTTTTTTTTGGTAAACATAGGATTGCCAAAATCTAAAATTATATATGTGTGTGTGAGGTTAATATTATTCATATTGTACAAGATAATTTTATCACGTATACTGATATGAAAATATGGGGTCATATAAAGAGAAAATAGAAATTAACAATATATTCATGTGTTTTCTGTTTATGTTTCCTTCTCACCATATAAAGCAGTGTTTTAAAACTTACATGCACATCGACCCCTAAAACCCGGCCAGGTTTCGGTAAAATGCTACTCACGCACATTCAAAGTGGTGACAAAATACTTTAAGCAAGGGTTACACCCTATATGCATACAAGCTGATTGATTTTGTTTGTATTTTCTTGTCAGTAAAATGATACTCACGCACATTCAAAGTTATGTGTGTGTGTGTGTGTGCGCGGGTAAGCTCCAATCGACAAACTGACCGTTAAATATGAAGTATAATGAGTGTAACCCTTGCTTAAAGTATTTCAACACGATCCAACGATAAACTTAAGAAAAAAAAACATTATCTCAAGATTGTTGCCTGCAGTAGAATCGTACACACAAACCACTTTGGTTTAGAATTTCTGGTATAGCTACTAACAGAATCTCAGCTGGACCGAACGGTAGATGAAAGATATATCATAAAATGATCAAAGATTTCTCCTTCCTCAATTCTCCTGTGAAGTTTCTGAAATGGCTCTCTCTCTATTTTCTCTTATAATGACTGATTTTCATACTCCCTTGTCTTCAAAATGTTATTCATGCACGTTCAAAAGGCTGCTGAACATCTTGAATTGGGAACTCTAGCTTTCTTTATTGGGCTGGACTTGACTTTTAATTAAGTGGTTAAAGCCCAACTACAAAGACCAATGCCCTTTTTGGTGGCATCGGAAGCATGTGTCACTTTTCATTTAATTTGTACAGTGATGACGACGAGGGTGGTTGGAACATGAATCTTTCAGACATTTTTATCTGTTTTTCATTATTGAACAATTTTTACACACACCTTAAATATCAACAGAGTCTTATCTTTCCTATGACTAGCTCACATAGGCACTACTGTCACTACATGCACTCAATGTCTGCCATAAAAGATGCAACGACATATTTAATGATTTTTTCTCATACGCATGATGCGGCGACCAATTTATGCCCTTGTCCCTTTTAAATTTGATTTATATATTATATTTGAATTTTGTGAGGGAATATATTCCCTCTTTCCCTCGCAATTTGGGAGGGAATATATTCCCTCGCAATTTGCGAGGGAATTTGTAAGGAAAATTGCGAATTTCAGTTGCAATTTTCAGATCCTAAATTTTGCGAGGGAACTTCCGTCGCCAATTTTTTCCCTCGCTGTCTCCGTCGCAGACTTATGATTCTTGCAAGGGATTCAATTTCCCTTGCAAATTGCGAGGGAATTGCGACCGAACTGCAAGGGATTCTGCGACGGAAATGTAGAAACGGAAATCTTACCTATTTTCCCTCGCAATTGTTTTTCCCTTGCAAATTCCGTCGCAGCTTGCAAGGGAATTTTTCCCTTGCAAATTTCCCTTGCTATTCGCAACTTTTCCAGTAGTGAACTAAGATTATGAGAGTAAATGAGGAAAAATAATCAGGATCAGATTTTGCATTGAACTTATAAACTCACATAACTTAATTTTTATTTTTATTTTCAATTTTAAGGGTATGGCGACCCACTCTAACTCTCTGGAACCGCCCATGCTAGCAAGCCTATGAACTCCCATAATGATCAATGAACTCGGTAGAGACATCGAATCCATATATTATTATTATTTTTTGAAAATATTTTAATCGGTTTATCGCTTCGCGACTAGTCCGATTCGAAGCGGATCTAAGATTAAAGCTTTAAATTTCTCCCAAAGATAATACTGTGGAGGATCAAATACATACTTTGACCCCACCTATTCAGCTCTCATACGTCAACTGAACTACCATCATTTGTTATCCATATATTATTATAAACAAAAGAATGATGGTATTTACACAAGGCTTATTACATATATTACATTAGTCAAAAAAAATTTGGATGAATATATTACATTAGTCATTACGCTACTCAATTGCCACAATGTCTTGAGATATACCTGATCGGTCTAGTCACTTTAATTAAGATGAAGATAAAAAAGTGGAAGAAAATGAAAAACTGGGCGGTGGACGCATGTAAAACTGAATAAGACACGTGCATGAAGAATTTAGAGAAAATGAGAATTATCTACAAATACAATTATAAAAAAAAAGTTATTGAATAATTTTTTAAAGAAGAAATAATCGGCTATAGAAGGATGTGGAAGCCAAAATTGATAGAAGAAAATTGGCTTAAGTTAATGCATATGAAGCCAAAAATATTTAAGATGGCACAAAGGTCGAAAAAAAGTGGCGCAAATGAATTCATATGTAGCCGAAATATTTAAGATGCATAAGTTAGGGGTAGGATATTATATTCTTTTTATATACTTACTTTATTTACTATTTTTATAGTTCGATTAGAATCTCAATTTAAAATTCTAATTTAATAATATTGAAAAGAGTAAGTAATTAAGTAAATATGAAAAAAAAAGACATAATATACTATCCGCACAAGTTATTTAATGCTTGGAAAAATGCTTTCAACGAAGAAGCCAAATAAAAGTTGAAATATCCCTAAAAAAAAATTTGAATAATATTTCGGCTATAGCCTATGAGGGAAGGAATAAATTTTGACACCATGACAATCACTATCTTCTCAAAATTTATTTGTAACCATCTCATAATTCACATTAGATAAAATTTATGTTCTCGTTTTTTATCAGCTTAAAAAAAGAGAATTTTCATTTTCTAAGAAAAATAATTGAAATTCTTCATAAATTACTAATTCTCTCAAAACAGATTTTTAACATGATAATAAGTAGATTATAGCATTAACATGAATTATTTAGTCAAGCCTGTAAAATGGCGTCCATATTTAATATTTTCAATTGCCCTAAAATTCAAAGAATGTGATATTTCAACCCAACAAATTTTAGTTGACTAAATAGTCAGCGCATAGTAAACAACAACAAACTAATTAAAAAAAATAAGCAATTATTAGGTAAAATATCTTTTGACAAGTGAAGAAGGGAAGACCCTATTTCGTGTTACCCCACCCCACTAATAAATCACTACTATGAAATGCTTTTTAAACACTTCATTTGGGGCTTGGAAGAGGGTAGTTATCTTCTTAGAAGGTTGGGGTACATGCACCAACACATGAATGTTACATAAATAACTTGTGGATCAGGGGAAATTCTGTTTTATCTGTGAGATATATCTGCTCATGGTACCCCAGATTGCACGTGAACATAATTAACAACATATTGGTAAACTTAAAATATGGCCAGTCATGCATCGAAAATGCAATCTTGCTCGTAAGTCAACTATTAATTTATATATCTCTGGTCATTCAGATAATTCATGGAAGAAAGGGATTCATGTACCCTTTTTATTATACACACACAATTAAGGAGGTAAGAACTCAGTAGATCCATGCAGGAAACTGCATCCAACACATTCCTTTCACTAACCCATGAATCAAATTTTTTATGTTGGTTCTAATTAACAATTATGCTGAAAACACAAATTTAATTTTAATTTCCTGAACTGAAGCCAAACCAACCAGCTGAATAATATGAATTACTTGTATTCCGATTCTCCCATACCAAGCATATGTCGGTACTAATGAACCATAGGATGTGCAAAAAGACCAAACAACTTATTTATTGCATTCTAAAAGCACAAGAAAAACCAAAGAAAATAAACCAGCAGCAATACAATTAACATAATTCCAACTTCATGGATCTTAACTCAAGCTGAGTGTGATTACACACCCCACTTATAAAAACCGATCAGAAAGGCACAAAGCAGTGTAAAAGTCTAATCTTGTTCTTGCATTTAAGCCCGTGGAGGAGGAGTTTCAATTGGTGAAGGAGGGCTGAAAATATTCCCATTTTTGGGGTTGGTATTTGGCTCTGGTTCTGCATAATCCTTAGTTTCAAACATCATCCTCATTCTTACAGCATGTTCCTGCAGGGAAAAAAAAAAAAAAAGAGATTCCTATTGATTTTCTGCCCCAAAAGCCCAAAACTAAACTAAGAAAGGAAACAAAAAATTAAATTTTAATTTATTTTTCCATTGATATAATCATTTTCTGATTAAAGAAAACAAAAATTGTAACAAAACCAACCACTGGTCCTGTTGTAGAATGTCTATGCTCAACAGTCTCCATCAGTGCCACCCTCCCGAATCCTTAAAAATTGACAACCAAAAGAAAACATCACAACAAGAAGGAATCAAACAAAACAAAGAACAAAAAAACACATGTATTCAAAGTAGTAACAAGAAACATCATCAGTTCCTGTAATAAAGGTAGAGAGAGGGAGAGATACCATACCATAACCAAAAGAGAGAAAGAGGAGAGAAGAAACAAGAAGCATCACGACTAAACGTGAGTGACCCATTATTTTTTGGAACCTTTTGGAAATGGGTATGAAAGGAATTGGTGAATATATGCAGAGATTGTGTGGAATATGGAAAAGGAACAAGAGAGTTTGAGGGGTTAGAACTTAGAAGCAGAGCTAAAAAGAGTTAAAAAGATGGGTACGTATGGCGGTATAGTGTATTTATTAGCATCAGATTCTGAATGAATACAGCAGCAATCTTCGGAAACCGACTTTGGTTTAAAAAGGCTTCATTCGTATCTGTGCCCATTGATCAGTGGCTTCGTGAGCTTTGCACACTTGTGTTTTCTTAATATTAAAGTAATGGGAAAATATTTTAAAAAAACAACGTTGTTTAATGGGTTATTGTTGAAGGGGATTTTTTTTACAAAGAATTCCATGCTTACTAAGATAAGAACGGTAATGAAGTTTTGAGAGTTTCATTCAGTGGCTAAGATTTGATTATGAGTGACAAAAGGTTGGAGCATTCGTTGTCTATGGATGAAGAACTTCACAATTCCCCTCATTAGTCTTAAGAGATTAGTTTTCTGTTCTATGCAAATCTCTTAGGAGAATCTAGTTTTAGATTATTGATTGATGTATAATTTATTTGTTTCTTTTAGGTATTTTTGCTTCATATTTAAAATTATAGCTTTTCTAATTAATTTAAAGAATATTTTATATTTTAAGGAATAAATAACTCTTTTGCAGCCCAATAATATGCTAATCATCAACTGATTTAATTTGTATAGATAATGAATGTATCGATCTTTTCTCATCCATTAATAGTTTATTGCTTAATTTGTATGTACTTAATTTTTTTTCTTAAAAGGTATGAGGAAGGCTAGATTTTCTAACGTGGCTCTCCTTGATGTACTGATTTTGACTCTAGTGCACCACAAACTTCTAAGAATCCATTCCTCCTTTTTATCAAATATTAACTTTAAATATTTAAAAAAAGTTCATAACATCATGGACAAAACTACTTATATAATTTTATTTTAATTTTTTTTGGTAAATAACTATTATATAATTTTATATTAATTTTTTTTTGGTAAATAACTACTTATATAATTTTATTAACATATATATATATATATATGGGCTTAACATTTCTGCAGCAGCCGTAGATAGTGTTATCTACAGCTGACACAGAAAAGTGGGTCCCATGACTTAAAAAAAAAAAAAAACTCAGGATCCATGGCCATATCCTAAGATCCGGACGCGGATCCTTGCTTGCTGTAGGTACAGCTGCTGCAGAAATCATTTTGCCTATATATATATATATATATATATATATATATATATATATATATATAAATGGACACTACATATAGAAAGAAAAAATACAAAGAGAAAGACTGCATTAAATAGAGGAAACAAAATGAGTTGGCTACCTACCCAACCGCGGGTATTAATGATGGAAATATATTTTTTATTTTACGTGAAATTTGTCGTAACTCATAAAAATAATAATAAAATTCATTAAAAAAAAAAAAAAAATTCTCATTTACTTTTTGTGTATTAAATAAGACAATGAGGAATATTCTACTTATAACTTTTTTTACAACTATATCTTAACATCGTTGATTTCTATCGATCAACGGTTATTATTTTCGTATATTAAATTTATTAATTAATTATTAATTCACAATAAATGATAACTGTTGATTAACAGAAATCAACGGTGTTAAGATATGATTGTAAGAGGTTGTAAAAAAAAATTATAAATATAACCTTCTTCTAACAGAATTTATCAAAGACAAGAGAAACATATTTTCCAATAATGATATTCCAGATTCATTTTGTTATGATAAAAAAAAAAAAATTCTTTTTTTTTTTCGATTTGGATTTGCCGGGTGTTCTGCTTGTCGGTTTAGGGATGAATTTTTTGAGTTGAAGATGATTTTTATTTTTATTTTTTGGTCACTGAAGTGGATGAACAGTTAATGGAGGGATTTATGCACACATTTCTAAAAGCATAGGTAACCGAGTTGATAATTTTTAAACATCATAATAACTTTAAAAAAAAAATATTTTTCTCCTTTTATATAAGAAAAATTGTCTGAGACAAAAAGTAAGGCTAACAATTAGAAAAGAAAACAAAAACAAAAATTTGACACAGAATTCAATCTATGTGTAGAAATCAAATCTTCTCTTATGTAAAAAGAGAAAAACATGTCTACCTATAGTTGGAGGAATAATGTGAAATTTAGCCTTTTTACTTTTTCTCTAACATACATTTTTTTATTTGTTGTGTGCTTTCTACTTAACATAAAAATAAATTTTGAATTTCCAAAAAAAATTGAAAAAATGTTCAGGGTACCTTTGGGTTGGTAGAAAATGTTCAGGGATAGATAGAAATGTTTTAGGGGGAATTTTCCATAGTTACTTTATGGGGAAAATGTTCAGGGTACCTTTGGGTTGGTAGAAATAAATAATATAAAGGATAATATAATAGAACGAAATCAGTTATCATTGCTTAAATTATACAAAATAAGATAGAATGAAATGGAACCATAGAATCAACTGCATCACATTTCATCTAATACCCCTATTTTTCTTCAACCAATCTGGGTTGTGGGATAAAATTAACTTACTGTCTATTAATCTCCTTATCATTAGATTACTTTTTAAAAATAGAATAAAAACTTTCCTCCATAATCGGAAAATATTCAAATAATGATATAATAATAATAATAATTATATTTTAGTATATCTCGTTCCATTTTATTTTATTAGATTCAATTCTACCTATCATTAAATATCTAAACAAAACTCTAAGATATTAGATTAGGATATTATGTTAAATATATCAATGTAATCTTTACCAATATATATATATATATATATATATATATATATATATATATATATATCGGTAACTCAATCCATTTAATTAATACATATCACCAGTGTTTTATGAAGGATCCAGTCACATTAATTAAGATAATGACAAAAAGTGAAAAATATAAAGTAAAAATATGGATGCATGAAATTATCAAAGAAACTAAGCTGCTGCAAAATTTATTTAAATAAGGAAATAATTGGCTGCTGAAAGACGTGGAAGCGATATTAGTGAAAAAATTGGCACAAGTTGATATCCATATGCCGACATATTTAAAATGGCACAGCAAAGCCAATATTTGATGCTTGGTTAAATTTTTTTAATCAAGAAGCTGAACAAATAAAATTGAAGTGGAAATATATTTCAAATGGAGAAGAAGAAATTTTGACAGCATGACAATCAGTGTTTAGTGGCTGTAGTGTAGAACTTTGGAAGAAAAATATTCCAACAAGAACAGTTTATAACTTCTATAGAGGTTGAACTCATTTAGACAAAGAAGAACAAATTATGGTAGCTCTGTTAGGGAATTGAGCAAGTGGAGGTAAGAGCTGTATTCGATTCTCTTTAATATTATTTTTGGGAGTGTTTAAAATTTTAATTCAGAGATCCGTTTAGAATCAAATTAGTTATGAAGTGATGAATCAATTAGAATATTTAAAAAAAAAAACCAATAAAGAGCACAGAGAAGGAAAGAACAAGGGGAAGGGAACTTTCACTAGAGTTATTTCTATAAAGGGCAGTTAAAAGAGAGTGAGTAAAACTAATTGTGTGCGGGTGATCTAGGTATACACCGGAAAAATATCAAGTATTATTTTTGGGGAGTCCCATTAACTGTCATTGCTAAAATATAAATTATCCCTTTCAACTTTAATCATGTTTTAAATTACCCTCTTATATTTTTAATTGATTCAATTAACTCCATGTACTTTATAATTGTTTCAAATCAACAATTCTGTTAAAAATTTTACAAACTCTATTAAACCTCCTCACATGCCCTAAGTCTCAAATCTTAAAAATTTCTTCACTCTTTTCTTCTACGTTCTCTCATCTCTTATCACACTATGTTCTCACCTATAGGACTGTATTGTTAATATATTCAACAGGTTTCACAGCTAAAATATGGGTCATTTGGAAATGTGATGCTTTATGGATTCAATTCCTTAGAAAAACCTTTCAAGAGCTTAGCTATACATGTCTCTGTTGAGGATCTAAGATTAACTCCTCTCGGACTCGGAATATATGTCCAACTATGTCCGGAAGTCCACGTGCTTAAGGTAGATTAAAACGGTGGAATAACGTAGAAGCTATAGTTAAACTCTAAAGCTTGCCTTGGGCTGCTATGCAGAAGGGAATTGCTAAACTACAGGTGGCAACCCCAAAAATAAAACCACCAAACATAAAAAGAACTAGCTATGTCTCCTTTGTAGCTAGAAGATATTAAAATTACATATAATCAGTTCCCTTTGTTATTCAAAAGAGTTACACCACTTTAGACGGTCCATTTATTTACTTGTAAGTGCAAAAGCATTGAAGTGATGTGCCCAGTACTTGGATAAAAACTCAGAGAAAAGAAGGGTTGAGTGGGGCTGATAACATGTATCAAGTTTCAAGACATGATGTATGCAGTTGATGAGAGTTTTCAAACATAAGAAACAAAAGCCAATTGATTTTATTAAGTAATAAGAGATGGGAGAACGTAGAAGAAAAGAGAGAAGAAATTTTTGAGATTTGGGGCATAGCACATGTGAGGAGGTTTAACAGAATTGTTGATTTGAAACAATTATAAAGTACAGGGGGTTAATTGAAACAATTATAAAGTACAGGGGGTAATTTAAAACATGGTCAAAGTTTAAAGGCGTAACTTATATTTTAGCCTTATAATTTTATTTAAGGGTTTGCTTTTTCTGCTGTTACTACAAATAAATTATCTGCAGTAAGCCAATACGACGTCGTTTTGGGACGGAAATCATGGTATTTTTGTAATTTTAATTTATTTTAGGGTTATAATAGTCTTTATATTTATAATTTTTGAAGATTTCAATACCAAAACGACGTCGTTTTGAGAATAAATGCAGATAACTTCTCTGCATTAACTGCGAAAATATTTTTCCCTTTATTTAAATAAAAATATATGAGATAGTACTTATAATTAGGGTTGTGCATGGGTCAGGTCGGGTCAGATTTTTGTGCCGACTCGACCCAACTTGGTTTTTATAGGTCAGGTATTTTGACTCGACCCGTTTTAATTTGATCCAAGTCAGGTCTGACTTGGTTTAGATTTTTTTGAACTAGTTCAGAACTGGGTCGGATCTGACCTGACTTGGTTTCTAAAGTGGGTCAA